CCGAAAGTCGCCTTTATTCCGGCCGGGACGTTTTTACTGAGGGCAAAATGGAGCTGGCAGGCTGCCATGCCGTCGTCTTGTTGTCCAAGCGAGGGTGGGGCTATTGAATGATGCGCTTCGTTGGTAGCGGCGGCTGGTGTCGGTCTGGCCGCTCCCTCAGCCCCCTGATCTGCCCGGCGAGGCGCGCCGGAATGTTCCGGCCACGGTTGGCTCACGTCGCTAGGTGGCCCTGGCTGGATCGGTTGCTCACTTAAGGCGGAGGTGTGTGTTTGGAACTTGCTTTCGGATAAAATGTCTCCAGGGATTCCCGATGTGTCTCATGACACAGGGGCTTGTTCTGCCATGGATGCTCTCTGTTTTATGGTCGGTGCTGAGTGTAAAAGGGCTTCAGGACAACGCTACAGACTTAGCCGTCGCAATCCTACCACAAACATTTGACTTAAGAATACAGAGAAAAGAGGCTCATGCGTCGGTCCGAACCCCAGCTCCAGCCCGCGGAGTGAATGATCTCCATGCCCTCCGAGTCCCAGCCCAGCCCGCGGAGTGAATGATCTCCACAGGGTCCGAGGCCCAGCCCCAGCCCGCGGAGTGAATGATCTCCGCACGGTCCGAGGTCCAGCCCCAGCCCGCGGAGTAAATGATCTCCACACGGTCCGAGGCCCAGCCCCGGCACGCGGAGTGAATGATCTCCGAACCGTCCGAGGCCCGGGCCAGCGCCCTGTCAGTATAGCTTCCGGCCCCACACCGCACAGTGTGCGTCCATCATCCACGTGGTGACGGGCGCACCCTGCCAGCGGCGGGGCGGTGGACAGGGGGCGGGGCAGCTGCTGCCGGGTGGACGCCCGCCCCCATCCTCGGGCCTGGACAATTTGTCCGCCCCTGGCCGCCGCTGGCGGCCTGCGTCTGATGCGCCACGTTCGGAGGACAAATGGTCCCGCACGCTGCGCCGCCGGCGACGGCCGAGCCGCGCAGATGGATGGCTCCCAGACGGACGCAACGAGCGGAATTGTCGCGGGGTCGGCGCTGTCGCGACCCGGCTCAGTGAGGGACCGGCGCGAGGACAGCGAGTGCCGCGTGGACGGCCCTGGCGTTCGGTGGAAAGGGGCGGCTCGGCTAGGTCATTCCGGGCCTCTTCAACGGCTAGCACGTGGCAAGTTCACATGTTTCTGAGCTGCGACTCAGAAATACGATTCCGCCACCTGCCGGGGCTGCCAGGTTCAGCATTGGCAAAAACAACCCCTCGGCGCCTGGCGACTGGTGAGAACCGCTTACGTTATCGGGCGGTCAGGGGGTCACGGAAGGCCGACCACTCTGGATCGCGTCACTCGAGGCCAGGCCAGCACCGGCAGGGGCTCCGACGCCAGCACCGAGCGGTTTGGCCATCCACGCGACTCTCCAGCTCAGCGTTTCAATGTCCCAAGCGGTCTCCTCGCTTCCGTGTCCCCAAGCGGTCTCCTCTCTTAAACACCACCCGAAAGGCCCATTTGCGGAGGGATGGCGGACTCCCGCCGACTGGGGCTGGGCTGACGGACAGATAATTGAGAGCCACCAAACCCACCCGCGCGCCACCGACGGGCGCCTCAGGCCCAAAAACGCTCTGCCAGAGACAAGCATATGCAGATGAGCTGCTCTGCGGCTCCGAGACGCTTCCGTAAAGACCCGTCGCATCGTCAGCACGTCATCAGGTCGCGGGCTGCCGCGGGCCGCCGCGGCGCTCCGTCCGGGCCGTCATCCGGCGTCGCAAGGTCGTGACCAGGGCGTCATCGGGGCGTCATCAGGCGCTGCGGAGGCGGACGACCGCGACGGCTCCGGGCCCCCATCAATCATCGTTGTTGGTGGTCGCGCGGGCCCACAGGCCAGCGGTTTGACGGTGGCCACCAATTTGGAAGCCGTTTGGAGCGGTTTGCCACGGGCCCTGGCGCCGTGATGACAGGGTGCGCGTCCGCCAGAGTCAATTGCTCGGCAAAAAACACGCAGGCTCTGGTTAGAGCGGTGCTTAACGGCCAGATGGCACGGAATGCGGCGGCCCTGGGTGTTGGACGTGTTTTTGTTTTGCACGGTTTACAGAGTCGGGAGGGAGATGTATGATGGCTCGGAGCATGCCGGCCACCGAAGCGGCCCGGAGTCGATCACTCAACACGCTGTCGTAAAGTAATGAAATCAAATATGTGAGCGATCCAGTACTGAGGAGGGAACTTATAATGGAGGGTCATCATGATATCAGAGTCCAGAATGTGCCGCAGTATGGGAATTGAGCAAGCTTCGGCAGGCCCGTCAGCTACACATTCGAGTCATTCCACAGATGAAATGCCACACGCCACGAGCATTGACTCGTAGGCGTGGGAAAGGGCTACTACATGTATAGACAGCTAGTTCATTTTTCATGTAAGCTTAACTGTGGTCGATGGTATGCGTAGAGCATATTGAGCTTAAAAAGATTCGGATCACAACTTCTTTTGGGAATGCGTCTGATGCGTGTTTTTGACCACACTTTTCTTAGCATAGCCGACAACATATCGCCCAAATAGCAGATTGTTTCACTCTTTAGGTGGACTTGGATCGTCTCTGTGAATGCTGGATATTGAAACTGAACTTTGCTGACCGCGAAACTGCTCCATCCAGCCTCCGTTTACCCTACTTGTTCACTTCTCATATGCACAAAAGGACCGCCGCTTGGCAAGTTGCCATCAAATTCGCGATCTTGGTGTGCTCCTAGACAATGGAATCCCCTTCCTACATCACATGGGCGTGACAGCCTCAACAGCAAACAGGACACTGGGCCTTCTCGTGCGAAGCGTGCAGGTACCATCACGGTCTCATGGTCTTAATCATAAGGTCATGCTGTGTGCCTGCAATGCACGTGAGATTATGGATTGAGCACGATAGGTAGCATCACTTTAAGCGGCGCCGCCGTCTCACAACTCGCCCGCTCAAACGACTACAGCTGTCGATTTCTGATGCCGCTGTTTTCTACCGCTCAGTTCCGGTGTCCTATACTGGATAACAAGCATCTTCCGGCTTATTTTACAACATCACTAAGGCACGCTTTGCTCAGTCCGATATGCGCTTGTACGGCGTGTACCACCTGAGGCTTGACTGTGGTCGTCAAACACCACGGTTCGGTCGCGCTGCACTCTCCCGCGCTCTCGGTGTACCGGACTCGCTCGCTGCACCCTCCCGGCGCTCTCGGCGTGCCGGACTTGATCGCTGCACCCTCCCGGCGCTCTCGGCGTACCGGACTTGCTCGCTGCACCCTCCCGGCGCTCTCGGCGTACCGGACTTGATCGCTGCACCCTCCCGGCGCTCCCGGCGTACCGGACTTGATCGCTGCACCCTCCCCGCGCTCTCGGCGTACCGGACTCGCTCGCTGCACCCTCCCGGCGTTCTCGGCGTACCGGACTTGCTCGCTGCAACCTCCCGGCGCTCTCGGCGTGCCGGACTTGATCGCTGCACCCTCCCGGCGCTCTCGGCGTACCGGACTTGCTCGCTGCACCTTCCCGGCGCTCTCGGCGTACCTGACTTGCTCGCTGCACTCTGCTCGCTGCAACCTCCCGGCGCTCTCGGCGTGCCGGACTTGATCGCTGCACCCTCCCGGCGCTCTCGGCGTGCCGGACTTTCTCGCTGCACCCTCCCGGCGCTCTCGGCGTACCGGACTTGATCGCTGCACCCTCCCGGCGCTCCCGGCGTGCCGGACTTGATCGCTGCACCCTCCCCGCGCTCTCGGCGTACCTGACTTGCTCGCTGCACCTTCCCGGCGCTCTCGGCGTGCCGGACTTTGTCGCTGCAACCTCCCGGCGCTCTCGGCGTGCCGGACTTGCTCGCTACACCCTTCCGACACTCTCAGCGTACCGGACTTTCTCGCTGCACCTTCCCGGCGCTCTCGGCGTACCTGACTTGCTCGCTGCACTCTCCCGGCGCTCTCGGCGTGCCGGACTTTCTCGCTGCACCCTCCCGGCGCTCTCGGCGTACCGGACTTGCTCGCTGCACCCTTCCGACACCCTCAGCGTACCGGACTTTCTCGCTGCACCCTCCCGGCGCTCTCGGCGTACCTGACTTGCTCGCTGCACCTTCCCGGCGCTCTCGGCGTGCCGGACTTTGTCGCTGCACCCCCCTGACGCTCTCGGCGTACCGGACTTGCTCGCTGCACCCTCCCGGCGCTCTCAGCGTACCGGACTTTCTCCGTGAACCATTTGCAAGAGAAGACGTTTGAAAATGGCTTGACGCACCCCTGCCCATTGTCAGCAATCATTAACATCCGCATTCTCTATCGACTGAAATTTTCTAGGCAGCACAATCTTTCGGATTCTATTTCGTCGCTACCTAGAGAGCGCTCCTTTGATGACCGCTGTGTCCGAGTGCGTGTTGTGTATGTGTGATTACATATTGAGCGCATCGCGTATTTATCATAGGCTTTGGGAGAGATGCAGACGAGGTATTAGTGTAAATTATGACAAAATTGTTCCGGTTGTCGTCCTCGTCTGGTGTGTTGGTGTGCTCCGAACATATGGCACATGTTAACATATTTCATCCGTGCATTTCCCGTTTGTAAAACTAGAAGGTGACTAATTGGCTCATTACCTGTGAAATAATCATGCCATGAATGAACAAATCAACAAACACAGTTGCTTTGTTGCCTTGTTTGAATTATCCGAAAACACGAATTAATTGTGTATAAGCACTTATCCATTGCTTCTCTGACCAAATTGTCGCATTTCGATGCATGTTTTCACGCAAAGGCGAGTGAGACAACGGGGCGAGAAACTTTAACTTTACGGCTGTTTGTGAAGTCAAGAGTTACCCATATGGTGGCGCATGAAAAGAGTCGACTGCAAAGGGCGCGGTACTCAGGCCTCTTCTGAAATTTTTACGCTCCTCCTTTTATGGAACTAAATCGGAAGCGATGACACGTCGTGTATCAAGGTAGCTCTGCACACAATTCTATCTGTCACTGCGTGTCACATCGGTTGGTCACGACCCTTTAAATCCCCTCCTTTTTCCAGGAACCTCGGGATGCAGGGCCTGGACGTCTGGAGAAACCCGCAGATCTACATGGTGGGGACGTCCCCCCTGTGTGGCCAGATACGGGGCCTCAGTCCGGGACAGAGGAAGCTGTGCCAGCTCCGTCAGGTCAGTAGATACAGGGCCTCAGTCCGGAGCAGAGGAAGCTGTGCCAGTTCCGTCAGGTCAGTCAGGTCGACTCGCCGACCGCCAGGGGTCGTCGAGCTCGGTCCCCACTTGCAGGGATCATTCATCAGTGGGCTGGTTGCCAGCCCCCACAAGGCAGAGGGCGCACGTACAAGACTTGGTGCAGATGACGTGCGTCAGCTGCTGTAGTTGAACGAGATGGTGCATCGCCGAATCACCGCGTATTGGCGCAGTATCGTGTGGTCCCCGCCTCTCCGGGAGTGATGACGGCCGCGATGCAGGCCGGTGCTTTTGTATTTCGCTGGACCAATCACGGCAGCTTGGGCGCGTTCTTCAAAGTCAAACGCTGTCCGCTGCGGCAATATACTGTGACGTCACAGGCGTCAGACGCCCGGATTGCGTCAGACGTGCTTACGCACGTCCATTCTGGTTGGCTACAAGTTTGGGCAAAACAGGAGAGCTAGCTAAATCAGCTCATGGGTGCATATGGAATGCAGTAATGGTGCATTAGTGATTTGATTATTTTTAGATTGCACTGTTATCGGTCGGTTACTTGGTCAAAACATCGCCATCGATCACCCCACCCACACGCGACCTAGAGTTGCTCTGTACAGTTCGTGACCAGTTCCCTGTTGTGCAAGACCATCAACACGTGTTGGCCGTTGCCAGGCGATGTTACGTAAACAACCAGGACTTACCGCACTTCTTTCGCCTCCCGGCTAAGTTAGGTATGGGGTTCACCAGTAATTTCACGGGTAGCTCAGGTATCCATATCACATGTAGAATGGACTTGCACAAAGTAGCAAATCTACCCGATGTCGTAAACTGCAAATGAAGAACGGACCGGAACTGAAAAATAGTCGCACAAGGTGACAGCCACTTGCGTTAGGAGTAGCTGCACTAGGTGCCAGCCCCTTGCGTTAGGAGTAGCTGCGCTAGGTGCCAGCCCCTTGCGTTAGGAGTAGCTGCGCTAGGTGCCAGCCCCTTGCGTTAGGAGTAGCTGCGCCAGGTGCCAGCCCCTTGCGTTAGGAGTAGCTGCGCTAGGTGCCAGCTCCTTGCGGTAATAAGTAACCTAGCGATGTCACCAGTAGGTACAAGCTCGAGGGTCAAGCGCATCCCATATACGCTGCATTCACTCTGCAAGCGCTTCCTCGGATTCCCTATTTCTGATCTCAGCAAACGCGGCACATGCGATTTTTCAGTTGATATCATCCTAACCTTCAACATGACGCTATACTGGACTACCACCCCGCTTGCGAGCATGCCAGCAGGAGTGTGTCTCATTCAGGGGTGGTCAGCCGGCTGCCACTGCTCCCCTGCCGGAGCCGGGGTGGAGGGTGAGGGCGCTGACTGAGTGTGCCGGGGCGCGCCCCTGCCCGCAGGACCACATGCGGAGCGTGGGCCGCGGCGCCCGGGCAGGCATCGCCGAGTGTCAGCACCAGTTCAGCAGCAGCCGCTGGAACTGCTCCACCGTCGACGACTCGTCCGTCTTCGGGCCCGTCCTGCAGATCCGTGAGTGCTGCTCTGAGTACTACGGACAGAACAGCAGTGTCCGTGTGTGCCTCCTGCACCTTTCCGATTGTATTTGTTTTTGCTGTTCGTTGTTTGCGTCCAAGACTAATGTTGTTTATTATCCAACTGACACCGGTGGAGTGCATCGTGTCAGATCATGCTTAGCAGTGTGCCAGCCTGGCCTATATTTCATTTTTCTGGAACCGTCGTGCGCCCACGGATCGCAGCCACCGGTGGGGTGACCTGATTTGACCTGACCTGATCTCCGGCAGCGCACTGGAAGGCAGCGTTGTCACACCCGATCGCGGCCGCCTGTGTGGTAACCTGACCTGACCTAACCTGATCTCCGGCAGCGTTCCGGGAGGCAGCGTTCGCGCACTCGATCGCGGCCGCCTGTGTGGTAACCTGACCTGACCTAACCTGACTTCCGGCAAGGTCCCAGGAGGCGGCGTTCGCGCACTCGATCGCGGCCGCCGGTGTGGTGACCTGACCTGACCTGACCTGATCTCCGGCAGCGTCCCGGGAGGCGGCGTTCGCGCACTCGATCGCAGCCGCCGGTGTGGTGATGTCGGTGTCACGCGCCTGTCGGGATGGCCAGCTGGCCTCCTGCGGCTGCTCCCGGTCAGCACGACCGGCTGACCTTGACCCCGACTGGACCTGGGGCGGCTGCGGCGACAACATCCGATACGGATACAGGTCAGTCCGCGCTGTGCACTCGTCCCATCTGAATGGTTGCACTCGCGCCGATGTCACAGGGACATGGCGGGAAGGGATGACACCGCTGCGGCAGACAGATTTGAGGGTTTGAGCTCAGGGGACAGCTTGATGCGCCACAAGCTGCGGAGACGCCTTTCTCGCCTTTAACCACGCTCGTCTGCTGGCCACGTTTGTTCAGTTGTGAAAAAGGCTGAATAGATCTGCGTCACAAGGCGTACTAAGCAAAACAAGCTGGCTGTCAAAAAAACCAGCGGGGATGATTTCTGTTTCGACCTCACTCGAACGTGATTAATGAAAACGATGGCTGTTTTCATGTCGGCATCATACTGACGTCGTAATGACATTTACAATGATGATGTCGGGACGACGATGACAATGCACATGTAAAGCACAGACGAAGCAGCAGATAAAGCACAGATTAGTCAGTATGAAGCTGGTGTGGTTGAAATGTGGGTATAGGTGACGTGTAAGTGCATTGTCCCTCTCCATCATTGTCCCTCTTCTGTGAAAACTGCGGATGTGCTAACACACAAAATGGACATCAGCTGTAAGGGTGCAATCTGCTTACGTCTGGCTGCGACGCAGTTTACTGTATGATGGCTTGACGTGGCGTTTTATTAGTGGATTATACCCCTAAGGACGTGGTCGCATGCACTGTGCATATTTTTCCCTTGTCTCTGTCGTTTCGTTGGTGCTGGTAATGATGGTAGTGGCGGTGATTTATGCCCTTGTGGTTCGCTGACGGTGCCATCATCAGTGCTTGTCACTATTATGTTACACAACAAAGGAGATAAAAAGAGCAGCCGACGGAAGACCGAATGACAAGCAAAACAACCCAGCAGCAAACAAAGGACTAACAGCGAGCGCACGAAACCAATCTTCTCTCCACTGCAAATGCTCAATAAGGCATCGGCTGCAGTGGGAAATGACCCTAATCTGTTATTTCTGACGTATGAATGAAATGCTGTTTGTTGTAGATTCGCCACCAACTTCGTGGATATTCGGGAGAGGGAGCGGAGATACAAGAGGGGCTCCGTGAAGCATGGCAGATCGCTGATGAACCTGCACAATAACGAAGCAGGACGCCGGGTGAGAAGCAGCCCTCTGTCGACTTCAGTCCAGCGTAGTCGTTTCCGGGTCCAGCTCACAGCGCATGGGTTTAATTTTGATGCTACCTTTGCGCAACACAGCGCATTTCGAAGTCGTTTCCGACTCGAAGATATGTTTCACTTTCGGAATCGGTTTCGGTGTGATTCCACAGGTAACACTTTATGAAATAAATCGTTCTATCTGCTTTAAAGAAGTCGATATAGTACAGGTTCTCGGAAAACAAGATAGTCATGAATCTAATGACCCCTGTGTCGCACGACGCCAGAGTAAAAAAAACAAAGTATGTCGGAGAAAAGAGCGATTTTGTTTGCGCGATAGAGCACGTTATCACACAAATTCCTGCCTGAGTCGACTCACCCAATACTCGTACCTTTTTGGTAAGGTCAACTCTGACTCACACTCAAACATCTCCAAAGAAGCCTCACCCCGCCCAGACTCAGCACACATTTGGTTGGTTCCAAAGTCGGGTCCGAATCCATCCGGAGTCAAGCACAAATATAGAGCTGGAGTAGCTGTCAGTGGTTGAATATGGAGCTGGAGTAGCTGTCAGTGGTTAAATATGGAGCTGGAGTAGCTGTCAGTGGTTAAATATGGAGTTGGAGTAGCTGTCAGTGGTCAAATATGGAGCTGGAGTAGCTGTCAGTGGTTAAATATGTAGCTGGAGTAGCTGTCGGTGGTTAAATACTGAGTTCCGCACCTATTCATACAGTTTCATTTCTTTAAATGAACTCGCATCGAATTGAACCAAGATGTCATTCTTTTCCAGCGAAGCATTTTTTTGTGTAACATTTGTACAGCACAAAACTGAGGGGGTGTAGCTCGGCCGGGTGCACTCAGTGACTCTAATATAGCCGGCCAATGGATCACTAGTCCCACAACTCCAGCACATCTCTATTTGAGCGTCGTACAGCTGATGTAGCCCTGTTTGGCCTGCTTCGTCCAGATCACGGGGCCCCATCAGAATGTCTGCTAGGTAAAGATCTGGTCGTTATGGAGCAATTATGACGGTAAAGAGCACGGCAAAAGTGCATGCATCGAATGCCAGTTGTTAAGGACATTTTGATCCATCACCGTTCGCAAAACCTGACGGAAACACGACCGCTGCTCTGCACTAGACAGGCGAATCCTACCCGAGACGTTACGCCTGCACTGCACTGGACAGATAAATCCTACCCGACACGCGACCGCTGCACTGCACTAGACAGGCAAATCCTACCCGAGACGCGACCGCTGCACTGCACTAGACAGGCGAATACTACCCGAGACGTCACGCCTGCACTGCACTGGACAGGCAAATCCTACCCGAGACGCGACCGCTGCACTGCACTAGACAGGCGAATCCTACCCGAGACGTCACGCCTGCACTGCACTGGACAGACAAATCCCACCCGAGACGCGACCACTGCACTGCACTAGACAGGAGAATCCTACCCGAGACGTCACGCCTGCACTGCACTGGACAGGCAAATCCTACCCGAGACACGACCGCTGCACTGCACTGGACAGGCAAATCCTACCCGAGACGTCCCGCCTGCACTGCACTGGACAGACAAATCCTACCCGACACGCGACCGCTGCACTGCACTAGACAGGCGAATCCTACCCGAGACGTCCCGCCTGCACTGCACTGGACAGGCAAATCCTACCCGAGACACGACCGCTGCACTGCACTGGACAGGCAAATCCTACCCGAGATGTCACGCCTGCACTGCACTGGACAGGCAAATCCTACCCGAGACGCGACCGCTGCACTGCACTGGACAGGCAAATCCTACCCGAGCTGCCACACCTGCACTGCGCTGGACAGGCTAGTACGCTCATGGCTCACCACCTGGCGACGAGGTTTTTATCGCTGGAGAACGCCTGGAGGTGTTTGTGGAGTTGTGGTGACAAGCCACGTCCAGTATCTGTCCAGGCATTATCAGCAATCCGATACAACCATTGAGAGAGCGCTCTAGGGGACACACCAGCCCCACCTCCGACACCTCTTTTGCCGACGGCGATCGTAGCGCCGCCTGTCGCACCGCCGTCCTGCACGCTCGCCGTCCTCCAGTCACCGCCTGTCCGCTTCACTCCAGTCAGCTGACACTGCCGAGACGATGCAACGGCTCAATTAGGGGAGCCGGCCGTCGAGAGGCGAGGACTTGGTATCACCTTTTTGCCCTTTTCTCCAGTGATTTGCATTCTGTGCAGTGTTGTGCTGCGCACTTTTTGTCGGCAGTTGTACGACGCCTAACTGTGTGGAGCGGAGAGCAGGCGGTTCGCACGCTCACAGTCGGCCATGCCTCGCCAACGGCGGTCCGCCAGCGGGTGACCAACTGCAGGCAGGGGTGCGGGAACTAATAGCCTGGGGGATGAGTCCCTCAACTTGCTGAAAACGTAACGCTGGCCCTATGGGCTTTGACTGGAAAGAGGTTCCCAAAAATATTGTACCGTCCTCCTTCTCCCCCTTCCCTCCCCCAACTTGGGATAACTACCGGTTCTACCGCTACGGGTAATTTTAATCTATCCATTCTTACAAATTTGTGATGTTCACAACTCCGTATAATACTGTGTGCCTGGTATTTTACGTGTTTTTTCCTTAGTGCTTTTCTCCCTTGTTTGTCGTGCTGTCCCGGAAAACTGCGATCGCATGGAGGACACCAAATAAGTGAACATGAATATGTCAGTATTCCTGGCTGCACCGCCGCATTTTATTTTGAAAACGAAATAAACCGTGCCTCGTGCCAGGCGGTGCATTAGTCACACACTGCCTGATTATTTCTGCACTACTGGAAACACCACGTGCGTTGCTGCCTGGTGTTCCTCTGAATACGTGAGCAGCGCAATCCCACCAGGCGAATATCCTCGCACCATTAAGCCTGTGTCTTTTTCCTCCAGTCTCGAATGCTTCATATGGTTTGACTCAAGTGATGACTTGCGTACTGCCGAACGTATGGGCTTTTGAGCACTGTTTCGCGCCATTGTGGTGCCAACTCGTGCCCACGAAACGGACGGCACTCAAGTTCTCGTGCGCAGCTGAAGGTTCTCCGCCTCGTAACTGCTGTTTACAGAGCAACGTGGGGCCAGCACTTCCATTTCGTATTAATCGTGGCTATGCATGTGAAGCCAGCTGGACGTTAAACTTTATGAAATGGGCTTTATTAGCGCTGGCTTAGCTGGCGAATTTCGCCGTGCCCTTTTGCAATTCGTGTACTGTGTCGTGCCCGCAGGCGGTCATCGACCTGACGAAGGTCAACTGCAAGTGCCACGGTGTGTCGGGCTCCTGCTCCACCGTGACCTGCTGGCAGCGGCTGCCGGCCTTCAGAGAAGTCGGTGAGTGGGAGACGTGAGAGAGTGCTGAGAGTACGAGAAGTATAAGTCGGTGAGAAGGTGAGAGGCCTGCCTCCCTCCTCTAGAGACGTCGGCGAGTGTAAGTCATCTGCCTGCCTTCGGGGAAGTCGTCGAGTATGAGATGCCCCGGAAAAGGACTACCAGCTTCAAAAACAACTTCTTGTTGCCAAACCAAATCTCCCATCTGTATGATTTTAAGGAGCTGATTGGGTGTGATACATTCAATGCTGCTTTCCTTAGAGAACTACAAAAGAAACAATTTACAATTAAACCAAGCAGGTTCGAGTCGGGATCGGAGTTGACACAAAGCTGCTGCGCTACTCGTAGTGAGAGTGAGTATCTAATTCACGCGCTGTAAGTCAGATTCGTTATCGATTCTGTCGAAACGGGATCAAACGCAGGCATGCCAGTCAGATGCAAGCCGCATTTGTTACAAAAATACGTGTGTGGTAAGTCAGCGGTCTTCTCTAATCGGTTCGATAGGCTTGTTGCCTTTCATGATGTTCTCCTGATATCTGACAGATATCTGCAAGCTGCAAGCTGATATCTGCAAGCTGACAGAAGGAGTTACGGTGGGTCGCTCCCACACCAGGGTGCGCAAAGCTCCTTTGATACTGTCGACAAATCGGCATGTTCGGCCGCCAGGTGGTCCCTGGTGCATCGATTTCATTGTCTGCGTTCATGTCAGCAGGTAATGCGCGCGCGCAGAATTCAGTGCTGCATGGTCCTCGACCAGCGTGCACGGCTGTGCCGATGCAAAGGCCGTGTACCGCGCCGCCTGGAGACACGGCTGCACCCATTCAACAGATGTGTACCATGTCATCTGGTGGGTGCACCGATTTCACGGTTGCGTCGCGCGCCGCCAGGTGACACGCTGAAGGACAAGTACGACGGAGCGACGGAGGTCAAGGTCACTCGCCGCGGCCGGCTGCGCGTCAGAAACCGCCGGTACAGGAGGCCGACCGCCAACGACCTGGTCTACATCCAGGAGAGTCCGGACTACTGCAGGAGGAACGACACGCTCGGCTCGTCTGGTCAGTGGTGGCAATGCATTAGAAATGCAACTTTACATGCAGTTTGCATCTTGAACTGCTGCTGTTGCTTTTTATTGCCTTATTTTTGTATATTTCGCCGACGTAATGGCCTTTGGATCAAAGCTAACCAGTTATCGATGTTAGTGTTACTTAACCGGTCTTGCGATTCGCCGTTCCGCAGGAACAACCGGTCGCGCGTGCGAGCGAACTTCAAAGGGCACCGACGGCTGCGGACTGCTCTGTTGTGGCCGGGGCTACAACACCCAGCGCATTACCGTCAATGAACGCTGCCAGTGCAAATTCGTTTGGTGCTGTAAGGTTCAGTGCCAAAGCTGTCTCCGACAAAAGACGGTGCACACGTGCAAGTGACCGCTAACGACACCTTTCGGACGAAAGCGAACTGTGTAAAGGTGGCGCTAGGTGTCCGGGTACCCGACCGCGGTCGGCCCTCGACCGGCTCAGTCGTCCCGAGCGCGGGACACGTGACTGTTGTCACGTGACTGTTGTCGCTAGTCGGTCCTCTGCCAGCGTGCCGAGGAAGACGGGCACGGCCTAAAAGCTCCGAAGAGCTCGATGGTCCGGCGAGCTGCTGGATACAACGACTGGACGGAATGCGATGCCGTCGAAAGTGTGCCCTGGTGCCGGATGCAGTGGCTGGACGGGATACGATGCCGTCGCGAGTGCGCCCTGATGCCGGATACAGTGATCGAGCAGTGGCCAGTGGTTTTGAGAACATGCTTCGATGCTAGACTCTCATTGAGCGAAATCCGATCTTTTCGGAACTGTGTACCGCTGCGAGATACAAAAGCGGAGTGAGATCCTGTGGTTCTGATAGCGTGCTCCGTAGTGAATCTGTGTAATAACTGGGCAGGAGCCAATAGGTTTGAGAGTGTGTTAGATCCGTTGGCTGGCCCATGACCATTGGCACTCGCTCTCACCCTGTTCAGTGTAAGGATAATCGTTCTTTAAGCATATCGCCAATCGGTTGGTATCTGCACATGAGCAGATTCATAAACGCTTCATTTGAAGCGTGACGTCGAACGCAGTTATGAATTATCGGCAAGCTGCTGAAAGTCAACGAGACGCATTCCTGCGGTCGGTCATTCACATAAAACACTACGACATTGCCGTGACTTTTATGTATTTGCATGCAGAATCAAATAAATATTACATGGGTGCCGCGAGCATCACGTGGCTATGCCCAAACGTGCCAGGAATACTTGACGTGGTAGGTGTGACCTCCAAAATCGCGGATCTAGAAGCTTCTGGAAAGGACCGCGCACACCTATGCATGCTGATCGTTCGCGCTACATAGCTCGAAAGCACAGCCACTAGCCAGGTTGTGCGTACACAAGCCGAGGCTGCGGACAAAAGTCTTAGTAACACTGGAAATGTGCGCTGCCAGTGGGTCATACTCCGGCGGGTGATTCTGCGAACTACTGGACCGTTACGGGAACTTGTTTGCACAAACGCAGTAGACTGCCAGCTGGCCCGAGCGGGGCCAGCCGCAAGCTCTCAGATCACGCTCTCTTATCGCGCTTACGTCGAGAAAAACTAAAATTAAGCGGTTGTTTTTCGAACAAATATATTCATCAGCCATCTTCTCTGGGAAATTTCGCTACGTCTAAGATGGCATCATCTGGAATAAAGCCACATCGACTTCGTCATCACTTCACCCACGCTCTCCAAGACATTCCACGTATCCAGTCAGCCAGGGATGACGTCATCCACATTTAGAAGGTAAGACGTCACCATGAGCCGGCTTAAACCGTCCGAGGCCAGTTCAGGGGACTTGCGCGGCGTCCCCAGCACAGATGCTTCCAACATGACCATCTGCGTTCATTGGACCATCTGACCAGTGGAAGCCATCACATCCTTAACACTTATCTTGCGGTTAAGTATTGCAGCACATTGTAGTTTTATCCCTGTACCCGGCGCAAAAGCACGATAGCTGAAAAAGTTATATTTCATTTCCAATTAAATTGTCGAGAACTTTTCCTGGGGCTTCAGAACAACGCCAACATGTTCGGCCGCCTCTCATCTAGAGCGGAAGCGGCCAGTCGGGCCGGAGCCGGCGGCCGGGCCTGACGCCGCTGGCGGCCGGCCGCGCCGGCGCGTCGGCTCGCTCCCGCCGGCCAGAAATAGCCACCGCTGTCGGCACATGACCGCCGCCACAAAGCGCAGGTCAGAGCACGGCCGGCCGACGCGGCGGACGACACGCTCCGGCGGGGTGAGTACGGCGCGCCGGGCCCGGCGTACCGCGGCCGCGCTCCCGGGGCGGGACGGCGCGGGCGGGACAGGGAGGGGCGTGCCGGGACTCGGAACGGGGTTAGATCAGGGCGGGGTCACGCGGTGTGGCGGGACTGCCAATAGACGTTACAGACGTTGCTGGTCGTCGGTCTCGTGCTGTTGTCGCTAAGAGACGACTTCGGAGTTGCGTAAACGTCACCCGTGGGCCACAACAAGTAGTACAAGAGAATAAAGCCGGGCCTGATATCCGATCCTTGGCATGCACCCACGGGACAAAGAGAGACCGCAGTCGGGGCAACTGTGAGATGCTTGTGTGAACGTCATGCTATCACCACCGCTAAACTTCAAACCGTGTGTACGAAGTACTCGGTTAAGCAGCCCAAATCGCGTTAATGTGTTGTGTTCTTCGGTGGATAAGAACACGGCTAAGGTGGGCCAGTAGCTTGTCTTTAGATTACACAGTGCCCGAGTAGGGCTGTGTATAACATGAGTATACACAAACGTTGATTAATGGACCCTCTTGCTGAATGTCAGATGAACTCGTCTCGAGCTGGGGCCAACCTGGCGCCAGAACATGAAGAGAAACCTCCCGCTTCAGACATGAAGGACCAGGAACAGGACAGGTAGGTGAAAAATGACGCATAGTAAAACCAGCGTAAGTTGTGGCACGTGTGCTGGACCAGGTACTGAGATGGTGTGATGAGAACGCTTCAGCTTGCCCCTGCCGTACCTAGTAGCTGTGCAGCACACGCTGCAATAGTGTGTAATATGTGCTGCAAATTCTCAAACGTTTCTTGACGCTTGCAGGCAGAGGCTCTGGATCGCCACAACAGAACGGCGATACCTAGAAGCGCTGATCGACGAAGCCAGTCAGCAGCTGGCGCTCAGGGACAGCTTTATTCAGGAGCAGGAGGAAAGCTTGCATCAGGTAAATGATTTGGCCCTAAAACAAGGTCCAAACATTTTGATTAGATAGATTCTGGGATCCGAGCACACGTTAATAAATACCTGTGTGGGCCCTGATCGCGCCATCCGATCGTGAAATTCTAGCTCACGGACAGAATTGTGGCGAATGTTAAAGGCCGTACTCCTCTAGGCGCTCCGTTCTACGCGCGAACGCCACCCAACCCCTAGCGCGGCCGCTGCCATCGGCCGCGGGCCATCCCAATCACCGGCAAATAGCGAGCGCTCGGGGCGATTCGAACCCTCCCCGCCGTGGATGGGCTAATCAGGAGACGCGCGGTCTAAGCTCTTATCAGCTGGATCACCGGGACAGACGGTGTGCCGGGCGAGTTAGATCATGTAGTTGCGCGTGTTAGCGTTATGAAATAGCGAACGGTAGGCAAGCGACATCACATTTCTCACCGAGCATGTGCGAAATTCGAACAAAGACTTAAGAATCGCGGTCCTTTAACAGGATTCGTTGCTTGCCCACGTGTCCATGATGCATGGTTACGCAACGTTAACATATGAGGCGCGGATGGCAGACGTTTTTTCTGGTCTTCAATCCCTTCAGTTTAAAATGAGGCGTAAAACAGTGGCAAGGCGATTCCGTACGTACTGGAACAGCTACCAAAACAGACCGGCGCCATCTGCCAGCCGCTCTTGCGCCATAGCTCCTCTTTGTGACGGAGGTACGAGTCGCGGATTTGGCCGGCCACTGTTTTTCCCGAAGCGGCCATTTTTCTGTCCGCCCTACGCTCGCCCGATCGCGGCAAGCCCGCCTGAGTCGGCCGTCGCGTGTTTGAATTGGCCCCCGTTCCAAGTGGCGACGGCTGGGACCGGAGTGAGAGGAGTGGTGACGGCTGTGTTAGGCCGGAGTGTAAAGAGTGGCCACCGTCGGCGGCCACCGGGACCGGACCGGCAGCGACCGGCCTTGGCAGCGGCGAGCATCGGCGTCTGCCTGGCACCGGTCGCGATGGCCAGGTATTTGGCGGCGGCCGCCGTTAAATGCCCCGGTCCGCAGGGACGCGCGGCGGTCAGCCGTCGCTTCCTCGAGGCATCCTTTACACCGCTTCATCGCGTTCATCCCCGCTGGGTCTCGTCCACGGACTGACTGACTTAGTGGAGTTTGCCGCTGACGATGATCTCGCTTTTCAGAAACACTGTCGGCAGAGTACGGACAGTGACCTCCCGGAGCTCTGCGACCACGTGCTGTCAGCCTCTGAATTTCTCAGCGCCACGTTCGACGCAGTAGTGCGTCGGTGCCAGACGTTAACGTGCGAGAGCGTCACGCCGATGGCCGGGCGCCGCACGCGGCAGGCGCCGGACGGCGGGCTCTGCGCGGCCCCGGCTGCTGCGTCGCTCGGATCCTCTCCAACGGCGCAGCGCGGAAGAGACGGCGACCGCCAGCCGGCGGGCGTCGCCGTGCCAGCGGCGTCACGCGGCGCCGTATCACGAGACGGGGCGCCGCTGGGGCGCCGGTGCGACGTCGCGTCGACGCCGACGATGCAGACGACGCCGACGCAGACGGTAGATGACCCACTGCCGGCGGAGCTGGAGGCGTGTCTGCAGCAGAACGCGCTGCTGGCGGACCGGTGCGAGGAGCAGGCGGACCTGCTGCGCGAGCAGACCGAACTAATGCACAGGCTGCATAGCCAGCTGAGCCGTAGCGCCACCGAGAACGAGCGCGTGCAGCGTCAGCTGCGGCTGGTGAACGCGCTGTTCGAGCAGCTGCAGCGGCAGGAGGCCGAGGGAGAGGCGGCACTCGAGGCTAGCCGTCGCGCCGAGTCGAGCGCCGCGGAGCCGTCCGAGCCGGGCGTGCCGGACGCCGACCAGCCCAACGGCCTCGTGGAGCGCGTGGACACGCCGCACGGCCGGCGCCTCGTCATCCACGTCAGCAAGACGTACCTGCGCCTGCGCGACCTCATCCTGGAGAAGCGCGCCCTCCTCAGCGAGATCGACAAGCTGAAGGGCTTCAACGTGCAGCTGGAGCGTCGCCTGAATCGGCAGGAGCAGCGGCTGTCGAGCGTGGCGGCCGAGCTGCACAGCACCTGGGGCCTCGTGACCAAGCTCAAGATCCAGCACGCCCAGCTGCACACGACCGAGTCCGTGCTGCGCTACGAGCTGCGCGAGAAGCGCCGCCTGCTGAACCGGCTGCGCGACGAGCTGGAGGGCTCGCGCCAGCGCTCGGCGCTCGCCAGCCGGCTCAACGCCGAGTCGGAGCTCGAGTGGCGCGCGCTGCGCCGCGAGCTCGACCAGCGCAAGCGCGAGCTGGTGCGCCAGCCTCACGTGGAGGAGGAGGAGCCGCCAGTGCAGGCGAGCGACGTGGAGAGGGACGGTGTGGCGGGCGAGCACACCATTGGCAGCGTCTCGCCGGAGCCCGAGCACGAGGATACACCGGACTCATCGGAGCTGCCGGAGTCGCCGGGCTCTGTGGATTCGTCCGAGCTGCCGGATACGGCGGAGACGCGTGACTCGAGTGAGCCGCGCCCGGCCGGCCGCCTGCGCACCCTCGAGCACCAATGTCAGGAGCTGTACACGCGGCTGGTATCGACCACGGCACGCCAGGTGGCGCTGAGCTCGCGGCTGGCCGAGCTGCACACGCTGCACGGCACCAGCGAGACGGCCTCGCTGGCCAGCACTAGCACCGACACGGCCTACGCCAGCAGCGAGCCGCAGCAGACGCCGTCCGAGGCTGAGGCCGACGAGCTGCCGTCGGACAGCAGCCGCGACGAGCCGCTGCCGCCACCGCACCACGAGCCCGGCTCCGCCGAAGCGCTGGAGGAGGCGGCGCCACGCGCCCGCGCGGCCGTCGCCGCCGTGGCCTCCGAGCCGGCCGGGCTGGCAGTGGCCGCGCTCTCGGTGGCCGTGGCGGCCGACGGCGGGCCGCGCGCGCTGCCGCCGCTGCCGACCGGCCAGCTGGCCACGGCGTCGGCGCACCTGGCCGGCGCCGACCACGCGCTCGTCGCCTCGGTGGTGACCGTGTCCGAGCCGCCCGCGGCTGCCAGCTCGGACGCGGACGAGCCGAACGAGTCGGCGTCCGACTCAGTGGACGAGGCGGCGGTCGGCTGGCGGCGCGGCTCCGTCGGCCAGCCGGACGGTGCCACCGCCGACCGGCTGACCGACGAGGACCCAGCCGACGTGTCCCGCTCCACCGCCGACCTGCTCGACCAGGTGGCGCTGTTCCTCGGCCGCGCGCGCCGCGGCAGCGCCGGCGTCGGCGGCGGTGGCGGCAGCGCCGGCGCCGGCGCCGGTGGCGGCGGCGCGGCCGAGCCGGCGCCCGCGGAGCGCTCCTCCGACTCGGACGAATCGACGGCGCCGGACGAGCCGGACGAGACGGACGAGGCGGACGGGTCGCGGTCCGACGACGTGTCGACTGTCGGGTGCAAGCTCATCAGCCTGCTGCCAAGCCGCATGGTGCACCTGCGTCGCGAGCGCGAACAGCTGGCGCAGCGCATCGCCGAGCTGCAGCGGCAGAATGAGCGCATCGAGCAGAAACTAGCGCGCATGCGCACGGAGCGTAGCGAGCACCGGCGCCGCGGCCGCGAGGATAGCACGGCCAAGCGGCACCTGGAGCAGCGCGTGCAGGAGCTGGAGCTGCGCGTGCAGCAGGAGCAGGCGCTCCGGATGCAGGTCAGGAGCGACGAGTGACGGGCTGCGACGGCGTCGGGATCGAGCCGTGATGATGTTAAGCGGCAGAGACTGGGTGCTGAGGCTACCGGGCCCGGACCCGGGACATGTTTTTTGATGAGGAACACGTGGACGTCACTGTCACTTTAGAGCTGTAGGACGCAAATAACCAATGCAGTTGCCGCACCCTTAAAACTCAATAACTAAGAGCTGTAGAAAATATGGGGTAATTTGAAAATATCTACGATTGCTGCAGCACCTATAGATGAATGGCGTGGCGGGACATCTGTAAAAATAACGCTCGGAGGTAACCAATTTTCTGTGCGTGTTTCAGCCCAGTCCTTACTTCACGGAGACAGTCGGAATGTCAGACGCTGCCGAGAATTCTGAGACGTCATCAGGCAACAGCATCCCAGCCGCCTGTAGCGGTGTTACGAACAATGCCCGCCTCAGCGGGAGCAGCGCCACCGTCGCGGCAAGCAGCACACACGGCTCTGACGCGTCGGAGGCTACGCTCGTGGAGTCGGGCGGTGACGCTGGCCCGTTGGAGCCAGCTGACACCACTCTCACGGACCGTCACCTCGCATCGACGGGAGGCAGCCCCACGGCTCGAAACGAGATAACGGTCACAGAACACAGTGAAGCCTCCGGGCAGGAAGAAGTCGACGTCACAGAGCGAAGGGAGGAAGCTGTCACAGGGCGCAATAACGCCAAGGAACAGGACGTGGCCCCTGTCACAGCGAGGAGCGCGGCCATGGAGCGGAGAGAAGCCACTGACACAGAGCGGAGAGGAGTCACGGCCACAGAACGAAACGACGTCACGGAACAGGCCGTGCCCACTGCTGCAAGGCGGAGCGAAGCAGCGGAGGCGGACAACGACACAGGCAGAAGCCACGACCAGGAACGGAACGAGTCAGACCAGCCTGGGGAGGCCTGGCAGGGGAGCGCCGCGGAGCAGGCCGCGGTGCCGAGCGGCAGCGGCAGCGCCGCGGCCGGGGCGACGGGCAGCGAGCCGGGCGAGTCCGAGTTCGGGCGACTGCAGCGCCACCTGACCGACGCCAGGGCACAGCTGCGCTCCGTCCAGGCGGACTGCAGCACGGCCAGGCGGGAGCTAGAGCGGGTGAGCGACGGGAGAACCAGCGTATGCACGGACGAGTAGACGGGAGAGGAGGGAGAAGACACAGACGAGGGACGGGAGAGAAGGGAGTAGGCACGGATGCGGGACGTGAGAGAAGGGAGCAAACACGGACGATGGACAGGAGAGGAGAGAGTGGACACAGACGACGGACGAGAGAGGAGAGAGTAGACACAGACAGGGGATGGGGCGAAGGGAGCACATATGGATGAGGGACGTGAGAGGAGGAAGCGCACACGGACGAGGGACAGGAGAAAAGAGAGTAGACACAGACGAGGGACGGGAGAGAAGCGAGCTAGCACGGACGGAGTACGGGAGAGAATGGGCGCGCGAGACGTGTCGACAGTGTGCGGTAAGCGTTTAATGGCACGGCACGCCGCACTGTGACGTGACGGTCACTGAGGGGCGTGATCTCGTCGCTGCAGATGCATGCCCAAATGAGCAGCGACGACCTCGCCCGGGCTCCACCCGCCAAGGATTTGAAGGAGTCGGCGCACGCTTCTGACGAACTACAGGATTGTCGCCCCGCGGTGCGCTGCGCATGGCACGGTGGACGCATGAACTACGAGGAATTCAAAAGGTGAGACGGTCCAGCCAACATTGTGCTATGAAAATAGGCATTTACATGGGCTTGGGTGATGGTTTTGTTTTGATCAGAACCCTTTTGGCCGTTAATGCCCATTTCATGGCTATGGGATGAAAGGGAATGGATTATAGCTGGGCAAACCTATATGCAATGTGGTCCATTCGCCGAGACAGTCCGCACAGGGATCACTTTACGGGGTACATACTCAGTACTCAGACAGGCCTCCCGCCAGAGGGGAGGGCGTCTTACGCAGATCACTCCCGCCCTGTCACCTGTATAACACCGCCGTGTCTGCCACGCACGGCCGCTGAGCGCGGGCGTTCTCAGCCGCCACGCGGCGCTGAGAGGGACGGCGCCCTGTTACAGACGTCTGGCCGGCCCGCTCGACCGTCGGTCCGCGTCCGGTCCGGCCGGCAAACACCGGACCCGGCGCCTCGCCAGCTGCCAGAGCTGTCAGGTGCGTGTCTCAGCTGGCTGCGGTGCCAGCTCCGTCACGCGCGGTCGGCGCCGCCCGCGGCACGCCCCCGTCGTGCTGGCCCGGTCCGCCGCTGCGGGCGTCTTTCTGTCAGAGCTGTCTGTCCGTCAGAGCATTGGCCCCGAATGGGATATGACGCCAGCATTGTGTTTCGGCGTTCGCTTTTTCACATCTGCCGTGGAATTTCATATCTACGTCACAAGTTCTGTAGCTTCATGCTTTTCAACATATTCTTTAAACTTTGTTGAAGAAATTTGAATATTTTTACACTAAAGCTTAATCAAAACGTGTCACACTGGGACACGGGTGCCGCGTCCAGCTGGATCAGTGTCACCTGACCGCGCTCGGCCGGGTCAGTGTCACCCGATTGCGCCCGGCCTGGTCAGTGTCACCCGATCGCGCCCGGCGTGGTCAGTGTCACCCGATCGCGCCCGGCCTGGTCAGTGTCACCCGATCGCGCCCGGCCTGGTCAGTATCACCCGATCACGCTCGGCCTGGTCAGTGTCACCCGATCGCGCCCGGCCGGGTCAGTGTCACCTGACCGCGCCCGGCCGGGTCAGTGTCACCTGACCGCCCCCGATCGGGTCGGTGTCACTGTAGCGGTCTGGAGGCCGTGATGCCGTGTTCGCCGGTGAGGCTTCGCCACACCTTGTGCCGCCTGACGCCCTGCCGCCGGCGCCGCCAGGCCCCGTTCCGTCTGCTGACCGCCCGCCGACACGGCTGCCGCTCCTGCGCCGGTGTGTTCTGCAGGGGGTGCGCCTGCGTCGTGATCCACCAGGCGAGGCGGTACGTGCGCCGACTGGATCGCTCTGTGCGGCAGTCTGTTCATGTTTCTATAGCACTCTCATTCAGCTAACAACTCACATATCTGTAGAACAGGAAACAGGACAAAGCTCGACAGCGCTGGAAAGAACAGCTGGACGGCTTTGCAGCGCGAACGTATGCTTAGATTGTAAAGTTTGCCTTCACTCACGAAATGTTCCTCGGACTGGTTGTCTCCAGGAAAGTGAGAATCTGCGTGGAATGCTTCTACAAGCTCACTCAGCCGTCACAGTCTTCGGAAAAGGACCCACGCGGCGAAGAAGGTTTGTGTGACTAATGGTTACTAGCATCGGACCGCCTTCCAGACAGCGTGGCCTGCGGGCAGTCGTGCACAAAGCCGTAATGTTATGACTAGCTCAACACCTGCAGTGTTCTCACTTCTCACGCATGCTTTATTAAAACGGCGTCGACGTTCACCTTGTGAACGCATCGACTGGCTAAAACGGCCAGTTACCATTCGTTTCACCACTTGCGGTAAGCGCCGCGCGTCCTACGTCTTTGACCATTTGTCACAGACCACCATTGCTGCGTACAGCAAGTCCGACTGCTATGCTCCCTCCCCTCTGACCAGGTCCTCCCCTGCCTGTCGTCAGGTGTTTCCCGTTGCGCCGACAGAGCGCGGCTGTCCGGAGGCTGTCGGCCGCCGGCCGGGGGGACGGGTCGGTCCGGCGCACCCTCCAGCTCCAGGTCCGGCCGCCTGCGAGACGGACGCCTCGGGCGGGCCGCCTCCGAACCGGCCGGCAGCAGCGGCACATCTGCCGTCAGCGACAGGTGACCGCTCTGAGGCGGCGACAGCCTCAGTGACGGATGACGATCGACGAGCCACAGCGACAGGTGACCGCTCTGAGGCGGCGACAGCCTCAGTGACGGATGACGATCGACGAGCCACAGCGACGGATGGCCGCTCTGAGACGGCTACAGCCGTCAGTGACGGGTGGCGATCGACGAGCCGCAGTGACGGATGACCCCTCTGAGGCGGCTACAGCCGTCAGTGACGGGTGACGATCGACGAGCCGCAGTGACGGATGGCCCCTCCGAGGCGGCTACAGCCGTCAGTGACGGATGATGACCAACGAGCCTGTGACGGATGGCCGCTCTGAGCTGACAGTGACAACCTTTAATCAATGGTGTCGGCCCTGAACAGGCAACTGTGACGAAGGACGGCCCTAAGTGACGGAGTACAGCTCAGGGCTGTCAACTAACGATGCCGCCTTTGGACTCAGGGTATATGACAAGCCAGCATCGCCTAAAGCCGATATTATTTCGTTGGAGCGGGGCATCACAATGCACGGGTCGTTCAGCACATCTTCATTGGACTGTGGCGACACGTGGTGAAAATGACGGGACTATTTCGGAGGCCGTTGCACAACTTTGATCAAAGCCTAGATAAATCACTAAATGACTTCGATCCAGACGAGACTCGGCCAAGCCAACTGCTGACTTCCATCCGGGTTGTGCCGACAGGTGCTGACGTCACAGTTGAAGAGCTACCTGTCTAGAAGGCAGAGGTATTGTGCAAATCCTGGCTCGAACCCTAGTCGTGTTGGCAGCCGTGTAACTCCGTATGGTGACAGGGACGCCCTGTGGTCGATATACAGGCGCCAGCCTTAGGCACAGAATCCCTACTCGGTACTGAAAATGCCATCTAGTCGAAACGTCAGGACAGACTGGCGTCCTGTTCGTCAGAACAGACCAGCGTCCTGTTCGTGTGCATTTGCTCACAACCCGAGGCCGCCCCCGAAGGTGGCAACCGACAGCGCGACACGCGAGCACTCGGGGCGTCTTGCCATCGATCGTTAGAAAAGCGTTCATGCCGGCTCCACGGCTCGGGGTGCTGGACACGCCGGAGTCGGGGGAGCGTCGCCAGGAGACCGAGGCGCCGGGCGCGCCGGAGTCAGCCACGGTCCGAGACCGGCGCCGGACGCGCCGGAGTCAGCCACGGTCCGGACCGGCGCAGGACGCGCCGGAGTCAGCCACGGTCCGGACCGGCGCAGGACGCGCCGGAGTCAGCCACGGTCCGAGACCGGCGCCGGACGCAGAATGTTCACGGCACCGCCGTGCCTTCGAGATGTGATATATTGCGCTTGTGTGATGAAAGCTTTGCACGTGCGTTTTCGTCGTCCGCCACTCTTTCATATCTATGATTGGAGGTAAGCGACAGACATCATCGCTCGACAGCCCCGATCATCTTCCACTGGGGCCGGAAAAGGTCTGTGTTAACCCGGCAGACTTTCTTCGTACTTACCGAGCGCAACCTGGCATCTTGTCAGCCCACCGTCAATTACAGCACAGCGAATTGCGCATCCTCCTGAACTACACTACACATTAACGATGCAGTCTTTACGCCAGGTTACATAAACCCGTAGCTTTCAGGTTGGCTACGCTTAGCGGACGAGCTCATGCCGGTCACATGATGCGCGATCCAGCGCTTAGTTTGTTCGTTAGCGCTCAGTGTGCGGTGAAGGCCTGTAATGGTGGCACTGACGCGCTGCCGGCCTATTGTCGGCCGGTAGCCTATTGTCAATCCACTTCACGTGCCGCGCACAGGAGTCCGAGCGGTGCTCACGCATGGTTGGAAAGCCTTTCTGCCACATATCTATTACAGCTCTGACTTTAGGAACACATCTAGGTGTGTTGACTGTGTTCGATTTGTTGTGCTTGTCCATCTGTACCCTATAATTTCCATCATGGAGAGTTGTGCTTCTTGCTGGTTTCTTGCCATCGTTGAGTCGGGCATTCGTTTTCATGCTCAATGTTTTCAATAAACGAAAAAAAACAACTTCGCGCGGCGTCTATAATGCAGGTGCCAACCTTCAGCAATCATAGCCACCAAGAAAAAAGAGCCAACGCGCCTCGCACACTCGTGACGAACTCGGGGCTCAGCTCACGACACGCATGCAGAAGCGTCCTGGAGAAATATTCGGTCATGGCCAAACCAACACACTCGTTTTGCATGACTATGGTATTGAATAGTATGGACACAGCACTAAAAACCAACGCAGGCACACATCTGACTAAAACACTGCACCAATCTCGCGGGGACGTCATATCCAGACCGATCACAGCTATCGGCCACCAGATCGCCCCGCGCCCCTTCCCCTTCAGCAGGTCAGTGACGGCGCCAGCGGGCACCCAGCGGAGAGGAGCACAGTACCCACACTTAACGCTCGGGCAGGCGACCGACCTGTCAGCCGTCCCCCTGCGGCGGCGCTAGTGGACTGGCGCCGTCCTCCAGCGGCGGCGGCGGTGAGCTGATACCGTCCTCCAGCGGCGGTGCTGGTGGGCTGGCGCCGTCCTCCAGCGGCGGCGGCGGTGAGCTGATACCGTCCTCCAGCGGCGGTGCTGGTGGGCTCGCGCCGTCCTCCAGCGGCGGCGGTGGTGAGCTGGTACTATCTTTTCGGGACAACGATAAAGTACTGCCATCTATCGATGATGGGACGGTACTGCACTTTAGCACTGGTGGGACGGTGCTTTCCTCTGGTACCGGCCGGACAGTACTGTCCTCTGGCGACAGCAGCGGCGAGACGGTGCCGCCCTCTGTCGGCGGCGGGCTGGAGCCGTCCGCCAGCGGCGGCGGCAGCGCGATGGGGCTGTCCGCCAGCGGCTGCAGCCGGAGCACCTCAGCCACGCCGCGGCCGGGGTCGAACCAGCACGTCACGTGACACTCATCCACGGCGAAGTGGTAGAGCAGCAGGTCGGCGCGTGCGCGGCGGTACACGGAGCGCGGCTCGGCGCGCAGCACCTGGCCGATGGCGGCGCGCAGCTCGCCGCTGTCGCGGAGCCAGCGCAGCCGGTGCCGGCCGGCGTCCGGCGCCGCCGAAAAGCGCTCCAGCTGCGCCGTCGCCGACGGCGTGAAGCCCACCGTCCACGACTCGGGCCGCAGCCGCTGCAGCCAGGTGCCGTCACCGGCGCCGCCGCTGGCTGGGCCGGCTGGTGAGCGGAGGCTGGCCGGGTCGACCCCGGCCGGCGGCGGGTCCACGCCAGGTGCGACGGTCACGGAAGAGCCGCCCAGAACACGGCCACAGACCGGCGCTGGGCTCTCCTCCGACACGGCTCGGCTCCCCGAGCGAGGCCGAGCGGCCCGCCCGCCCGCTCCGTCTCTCCCGGCCGGCCCCAGCCGATCGGATGTGCCGATACCGTCCTCCGAGGGTGTGAGCACGTCCTCGGGGGCTGGCTCCCTACCTCCCGTCGAGCGGCCGCGCTCGGCCCAGTCGACGGCTGCCAGCGGCTCGGGGCTGGACTGCGGCGGGGAGTCGTATTCACTGATGTACGGCTTGATGTCCAGCACCGGCGTGCCGTCCACGAGATCGTGGCCCGAGAAGTGCAGCGTGTCACCTGTAAGCCCACCAACAGCAAAACATCTCACCGGTGATCACGCTCATGTTGTGTACATGGCTTCATAAAACAATGAACGTCAGTGGACATACAGTCACCCAATACCAATTATTTAATGGATAAGAGTTGCGTATTCTGCTAGCATATACTGAAGTGGCAGCTGACGCATTGGGCCTATTCAGATCTCATATTTTATCTACCAGTTACGTAATAAATGCTGCGGGTATCCGACTTTTCAAAAGGTAAAGGGTCATTTTATCGTCAGCGAAAATCCTGTGCTCTACGAGCATGCTGCAAGTCTCTCCGCGACGCACCTTTTACAGTTCATATAGTGGTGGTCGATACTTATACACTAAAGCAGCCTGAACAGGCCCACAAATTACATCATAAGAATAAATAACATAACATTAAAAACCTGCCGCATGCATATCAGGTCTGTGTCCAGGTGCATAAAACAATGCGGCGCCTCATAACCACGATCGTTTCTAAAACACCCCACAGGTCATGCTAGTGCGGCGGTTTTGGCCCTGTTCCGCCTATCCATCAGCCCACGTGGCCGCCTGTGGGTGGTGACGGGACTGGGACGGATACCTCACGCCATTACTCCCTCTACATCTCATCCCACCCATCAGGCGAGCCCCTGAATGGCAGGCCAGTGTACGCGACCGGTCAGCCACGACTCTGCGACATGTTGCTGTCTGCGTGGCTCGCCGACATTTTCACCACGTTCTGGAAGGTTATTTCAAATATACCAAAGCGAGGATACTAGGTTCACGGGGATGTGAACGATCTTTTAAAGCTCAACCTTGGACACTTCGAAATGTTTATGATTTCGTTGCTGGCATATTTGTGGTCGCCAAGAAGTTTCCAAACATCACTTAGTATTAGGTATTAGTATTAGTATTAGTATAAGGACTAGGATAAGTGTTAGTGTTAGCCTTAATATTCGGATTAGGATTAGGATTAGGATTACAATAATGATTATTATTAGTATTAGTATTATCATTAGAATAGTAGCAGTATAGTATTACTACTAGTATAAGTATTAGTATTAGTATTGCTACTGCTATTGCTATAGCTACTGCTACTGCTGTGCTACTGCTATTGCTATTGTTATTGCTACTGCTATTCCTACTATTATTGCTACTAAGCAGTAGAAGCAGCACCAGTATTAGTACTAGTAGAATGAGTATTAGTATAAGTGTTGGTGTTAGTATTAGTATTAGTATTAGTAGTAGCAAGAGCACGAGCAAGAGCAGTAGTAATAGTACCAGTAATAGTAGCAACAGCAGTAGCATAGCAGTAGCATTATCAGTAGCAGTAGCAATAGCAGTAGCAATGGCAATAGCAATACTAATACTGTTACTAATACTAATATTAATAATAATACTGTTACTAATA